TTTTTGAAATCTAAATTTTAGTCAAAAGGTGAAAGGTCCATTAAATCACTAGTTTTCGAATCTGCATGCGTGTCTGGTATCTGAATTAGCATGTGTGGTTTTAATTCGTAGTTTTCATTTTTTCACCAAACATAACAAAGTAAAATACTGTTTATTACAGTAGTTCATGCTCTTAGTTTATTTGCATTTGTTGCTTGCCAGAGCCTTTTTTAAGAATTTGTCTGTGGGACATGGCCGAATTTTGAGGTGCACACATCCCCCTGAGATTACCTTCATTACTACATACAGTTTGTACACTGCATGCATATGTCACGTTGTTGACTTTGGCCCATTCTAAGTCCTAACATTCCATGGGGGTTGGGAGCTTGACTGCTGCACCTTCCCTAAATTTCCATCAGAATCGGGCCTTGCCACAGGGAGAGAGCAATCTACAAAAAGGGATCACACTATTGTGTGTAATAGTAGGGGGCGTTTGGGGTTTTATATTTTTCACCCCTAGGACTACATTTCGTGCATTTTCTGAACAGATTTTTGGATGCACAGCATTACATACTGTAGATATATTCTCATAAAATCTTCTGTTAAGTACTTCCTTAATTGGATGTTTATGTAAATACCACAACTCGGTCTGGGATATGCTATCCAATGACTCATTGAGGCACGGGTTATGTATTCAGGACACAATGTTTAGCATTTAAAAAAAAGATATTGAATTATTTGAAGATAAATACAGGACATAAGATTCACAAAGCAAATGTCAGTTACTGGAATATCAAACGTCCCTTCCAAATTCCATTTTTTGTTTTTCTTATATTTTATTTAAGATTTATTAAAAAGACCAATTTAGCAGTCAAGGACTGAATTACATCGGTTTACAAGATTAAAAGGACAAAATACAATTAGATTAAGAATTATTATAGTAATAATTACATGGTTGATTATATTAAGTTTTACTAATGTTAAAAGCATTACTTCTAGCAATTATGAAACTATTTGCATATCTATTAGTTCTACACCTAGGTATTGATAGTTTGTTATTACCACCACAAAGGGAATATTCTGTATCCCGATTGGAAGGGACAAGGGAATGTAACTTATGTGCTTCGTCAGTACGCATTCGTTCAAAAAATCTCTCAAAAAAGGCCCTGTTAATGCTTGCAAACACTCCAAACAGTACTATCGTTAGTATTGTCTAACATATCCATGCACTATACATCTATATGTCTATTCCACTTATCTGAAATTTGTACTTACCTCATGGTCCATTTACATTATCTTACCAATATATGTTATCTTTTTATTAATTGCCAATGTGCGATCATATATATAATATAGGTGATATGACTCATATGGTGATATGGAAGGCATACACCTAATCAATGTTTGTTTAACTATTGTAAACTCATACGGTGTGTTCTTCAGTATTGGAATAGACTGTTATATTATTTTTATTTGTCAAGTACCTTCAAACGACTATATAAAAGCTGTAAACTTGATTTGTTGGGTCAACAACCAGGTGATGGTAAGGACGGTAATTCGGTTATTAAAGTTCTGTCAATTCGACAGTAACCAGGTGGAGGCAAGGACGATATTTCAGTTATTAAATGTATATAAACAGCAACCACTAATCAGGTGGTGGCTAGGAAGGTATTTCAGTTATATTGTATATTGAAGATAGGTAATTGTAAATTGGTAATTTAATATATTTATCTATAAGGCCCCCTATAAGGTGGCCCCTACCTACTTTCGTACTTTGGCTCCTAATAGCGACAATAATACAATATGACAGCCACTATATTGGCCCCTATTAAATATGGCCAATATATATACGGCTCCCATATATAGGCCCCTATATGACGACCCCTGTATTGGCCCCTATAAATAGCGACAATATGACGGCTCCCTGCTCTCCAGTGACACTATCACAAATCGTGTTTGGACCAATTTTGGAAGCAAAATGCTTCAGACAAAGCAGCCTTTCCTGTTATATATTTTGTTCTCCATGCTCATATCCTTTTCACCAAACTGCACGAATTCTCGCGGCTCAACTCTGCTGTACTTTTGTGCCTTGCCCGAGACATCTGAGCTTTGGCATTGTACAACTATTTCTTCAATTTTTCCCTCTTTCAATCATTTTTCTTGCTCTTTTTTGCTTCATTTCGTCTCGTCTCGAGAATTCTGCCATTTTGAAAACATGTGAGTTTATAGTGCTTCCACTCTGCTGAAGCAAAATATCCTCTTTTCCGACCGCAATGCATATTGGTCAGTGGTGTTTTTAAATTCAATTTATATTACTTTTCCGAAAAAAATTCTTATGGCAGCGATAGGCCAGTGGTGTTTTTAAATTCAATTTACTTTTCCGAAAAAAATTCTTATGGCAGCGATAGGCCAAAAGGTAATTTTCATTTTGTTTTCATTTGTTTTTAATATCGTTTCATTTTGTTTTTACATTGATTGTTTTTAAATAAAATTATTTTTAAAATAATGGTGTTTTTAAATTCAATTTACTTTTCCGAAAAAAATTCTTATGGCAGCGATAGGCCATAGGTAATTTTCATTTTGTTTTCATTTGTTTTTAATATCGTTTCATTTTGTTTTTACATTGATTGTTTTTAAATAAAATTATTTTTAAAATAAAAAAAAAAAAATAAAATAAAAAAAATAAAAAATTTAAAAAATAAATAAATAAAAATAAATAAAAATTTTATGAATTTTCTTATGGCAGCGATAGGCCACCATACACTACCATCCTCGTGTTCACTACTGTGTTTTGACACCTTTAGATTACGTAATGTGAGATGGACGACATACTTCGTGTCAGCTGTACTGATGTGGACAGTTATGGTCAAGAAGATTCCTTCAATTCGCTCTCTGTGGTATTCATGTCTGGATTATGCGATGAAAATGTTTGGATATATCACGGCGTTCGAAAAGCTTAGTTTGAAATTCTAGGTTGAAAGGACATCAGACATTGGAAATTTATTGTGTAGTTTGATAGAATTCGTATGAAACCCACTCGTCTCTAAATCATTTAGAAATCTTTGTACATTACTACTCCGAGGTAGATATGAAACCTCCTTGGACCTCAATGATAAGAATGTCTATTAGCAGTTAAAATAAGGCATCCGGATAGGATTTTATGCTGATTTGGTTAGAAACAACTCTTAAAACTGTATTATTACGCATTACCTGTACAATGTCCGTTTTTTGACTGCTGGCCTACAATTTATGATATCGCGTAATTATGGCCTCACACCTGCATATATAACAATTCTCTGCATTACGTAAGACGTCGTCTCTGCGGAGTATTATCGGCGCATCTCCAGCAAAAGCCAGCTTGTTTACACGAAGAAAAAAGTCATAGCAAGATTTGCAAATTGGATAAAACAACCTCGGCTTTCCTCAGCTTTGATATTATTCTCGATGCCTAATACACTACGCATTAATTATTAAATATAGTTTGTTTTACACAATTTCGATATCTTCGTTTTTGAGGTATTTCAGTTTGTAAATCATGACGTTCCACACATTCGTAAATCCAAAAAAATTCAGGTCAAAAGTAAATATGTAATCACGAGTATTTGAAACAGTAAAGTTGGAAAAATATAATAATTTCGGTCGTGAAGATTATTAACCTAGCTTTCAATTACATAATTTTCTCTACATATCAAAATAACATAAAATATTTCAAAAACATAAGATATCAAAAATGTGTGAAGTTACTTATTTGCAGTTCGAAGAGTTATTTCTAACTAGATACACTGTGCTAAAATTTGTCGTGTTAAGAATCGTACGTGAGGCATGACTATAGTATTAATTAAGACGTGGTATTATAGATTCCTAGAGTTTGAAAAACAATCCAGTAAAAGACTTTCCAGAACTTATAGAAATAGAGAATTATATGTATTGCAGATTATGCTGGACAAAAAATAGATTTTCGCCAAATAATAACGTACTCAAAAGTGTGCTTGCTTGAATCGGCTTTTACATGCTCGAGCATATGTGGAGTGTATTGATCAGCTATACTCAAAGCACAAACCACACACATGGAACACCTGTTCTGATATATAGGCCCAGATTTCCTGACCTAGGCCAGGCCAAAGTTCGTTTACACTACAAAAATCTAGTCCAAAGGTAGGCCTAGGCCAGGCTTAGGCTCGTAGTGTAAACATGGCTAAAGTTTGGTTAACTTGACTTCTATAAAAAGAAACTTTGAAAATTAAAAAATGGATTTAACAGGATAGAAATACCAATGAAAAGAATTAAGAAATAACTTCGGATAAATAAATACAGATAATTGAGACAATCGGCAAGATAAATATAAGGATATTTTAGGGTTGAAAAGGATGGTTAATGTATGGAACAGGGTTATAGTAGTGCGGGGAGGGAGGGCTTGGGGGGCTGAGCCCCTCCTGTCAAAATTTAATGTCGATTTGCAGGCCGAGCCCCAAATATTTTTGCAGATTGCATAATCATGACCTGGAAAGTTCTTAGCAAATAATTTGCAACTGCAGTGTGGGAATGCTTCAATAATTGATATTTATGTGGCTCCAATGTGAAATAATTTCACCATATAATCATTTTTCAAAAGAAAACTAAATGAAGAATTGCTAGAGCCAAGAATAAATACTGTGTTCATCATGTTGTCACCATCCACGCCTTGTCACTCCCACGCCCCCTCCTCTTTTTTGAGAACCCCCCTTGTTAGCGTTTCATGACTACAACACTGGTATGATGGCCGATTGCATCTTAATTATATATGTCAAGGGAAAAGCCTGGGAACAAGGTTATGAATGTACTTTCAAGATCATGCCTTTCATAAATGTACTTTATGTACTTCATTGTAACGACAAAGTACACCTTGAGTCTTAAGTTTGTACCAGCTCAGTCTGGTACCATTAAAAATCTTCAGCTATCACTCCTGTGTTACAGATCTGCAAACAAGTTGTAACAAAATGATGGTCAAGCCGATAACAGGATGTGTTTGTACTGTTTGTCCCCAGTTGTTACGAGGTTGATGATGGTAACATACTTGCTACAAGCAGGGCCGCCCAGAGGTTGGCGGGGGCCCGGGGCAAATTATTTTTAGGGGCCCCTATCTAAAAAAATTTTCCGGAAAAATTTTCCGGATAACAACCCCCCCCCCCCGTCGCCAAAAAATTTTCGGTCAGTGTACCATTTTAGGAGTACAAAATTTTTTCCGGAGTACAAAATTTTGCCGGAGGAGTACGTTGCAAATGCTTTCGAGGGACTTTATCTCATTTTTTTATGCCAAAATTCGGTACTGAGCACAAGACAACAGATATCTTGTCCTTTGCGCGGAAATATTTAACACACAAAAAAGGCTGGGGCCCTCCAAAAAATTTTCAGAGGCCCCCAGCAACTCGGGGCCCGGGGCAATTTGCCCCCTTTGCCCCTCTGGGCGGCCCTGGCTACAAGTTGTTCCAACAAGACTAATGCATGCTGGCTTGTTCTTAACAAGTTGCTACAAGCTTGTTGTCATCAAGCAGACAATATCAGACTTGTTCGAATAACTTGCTGCGAATCTGTTAATGGCCTCACTAGCCTTCTTACAAGCAGCAAATTAACATAAGAGACACCTCAATCATGGCAGCCAATGGTACCCTACTTCCAAGTGACGCATGATTTATCCCACCTAGTCATTTGGCAACAAAATTTCCAACTGATCGGGAATTTCTTGCATTGTAACAATCCATAAAAAATCCATAATTTTCCCCCGCTCTTTTCTTGATTGATTTTCTATAAATTAGTAGATAATTTTTCGGTAATCAATATCTTAATTTGGATTTACCCCTCGAGCAAGCCAATTGGTTAATTGTTAAATTTAGATTACAAATTGTAATTTTTCGGTGGTTTTGTAGGTACAACATAATCTTCGCCTTGTAATGTTTTGGTCGGACTTAATAAGGGGACTTGTGTTCTGTAATTCTGTTGTCCTTGACTATCTACCATTCAGTTATGGAGCTTTCTCATTTCTTTTCCATTTATTGCTGTATCTTTGACATTTGGTATATAATAATTTAATAATACAGTATTGACTGGGACCTCCAGAAATTTGGAAACAGCATTTTCCTGGGGGAACATGCTCCCGGACCCCCCTAACCACTCTCGCGCCTTCTCTGTTCGCTTTGCCCCTCAAAAAATAGGGCTCTGGCTATGTCACTGTGGGTGAGACACCTTAATATCCCACATACAATGCAGTCAACAAACATATGGTTTAAATTTACTTTTTTCTTGATTCATGGGAACGAGGCTCCCAGGCCAAGGAAATTTTCATGATATAATTTTCGAAAAGGTGTATTTTTAATGTGAGGAACTGAGTATGTTTTGTTTTGGAACTGAGTATGTTTTGTCTGAAATCTGCAGTCCCTGAAATGCGATTTCAAGCATTTTTGGAGTGAAATTTTGCAGAATTCCGAATATTATAAAGTACATCAAAAGGCATGATTTTAAGGCTATAATCTACGATTAAAAGGCTCAAAATATATTGGCGATTGGTATAGCCTGAATTTAAGCCGGTCATGCACTCAAAATCGTTGTCGCGATCCAAAAATTGGTCCAAGAATTCGCAAATATAAGAATTCAAAAATGTCGGTTAACAAATTTCGAGAAACAACAATTACTAGCTTACCTTTCTTATAATTTTTTGGCTCTTTTGGCAGTTGACGAATAGTATCTTTTGACGATATTAAAGGTGATCTACAGTCCGATCTGCGCATGTGCACAAATGAGCCCACTTTTTATGATACAAACAGTTTAACTATGTTTTGAGTTCTTGAAAAGCCTGATTGTTGTTTCTTGATCATTTATTATACTCTAGAAGCTTGAAAATATAAATAGTTGTCGAATAAAGCTCAATATTTTGGACACAAAAATGTAAACAAAGGCTTTGTTTACATACGGACTGTAGATCACCTTTAATATCTTTTGATGGTTATCGAAGTAAATAAATAAATAAATTCCCGGAAGTTCCAAGCAATATTCGCAATATGATTTTTTTCTTTGCTGGTGTTGTGCACTCAGGTGAATATATGATGTTTGTGATGTTACTCTGAGTGTATATCCACACCGGACGAGCTTGAAAAATGACAATATATACCAATGTAATCTAGTAATATGATTTTTCAACTCGAACCGTCCTGACCGCGTAGCTCAGTTGGCAGAGCATTGGGCTAGTATTCCAAAGGCCGTAGGTTCGATTCCCACCGTGGCCGGGCATATTTTTCAAGCTCGTCCGGTGTGGATATATACTCAGAGTAACACCACAAACATCATATTCACCTGAGTACACAACACCAACAAAGAAAAAATCATATTACTAGATTACACTGGTATAGAAGGAACTAGATTCTGTTCCGAAATATCACTCACTCGAACCGTCCTGACCGCGTAGCTCAGTTGGCAGAGCATTGGGCTAGTATTCCAAAGGTCGTAAGCTCGTCCGGTGTGGATATACACTCAGAGTAACATCACAAACATAATATTCGCAATATTTAACATACTAATTCTTCTTATTGGTCCGCTACTTAACCAATCAAAAACAATCTTATTGAAGCTCGCTCCCAGAGGCTGCTCCATTTACTGTTCGGAGTACTCCGGATTTTCGGAACACTAATTAAATCGAACCAACAATGGTCACATGACTGTTCTGACGGTCACATGACTGTTCTGGCTGCCCCTACTTTTGAGTAGGAGCAGTCAGAACAGTCATGTGACCGTTTTCGGTTCGATTCAATTAGTGTTTCGAAAATCTGGAGTACTCCGAACAGTAAATGGAGCAGCCTCCCAGAGGAGGTTGGACAGCCAATTAGGCGAACACCTCGACCAATCAGATTGCGCCATTTTCCTGATGCTCGCACGAAGCCGTTTGGCATCGAAAATGTCTCGCGATGTAATTTAATGACAAAAATCTCAAATCTCCATGGTTCGATTTCGCTATTTTTTTCACGATTAGTTAAATAAAAGTATAATCTTTAATTCTATCCAGCCGGCCCCCCTCGGCCTCTCAACCGTTTTCGAGATATTCACCGTTGAATACAGTCCTTTGTAAAATATGCTGCCTTGTCACTCAGATCGATAATGAGCTGCTATTACTAGCTTTTTTCTAAAGAAATTTGATATACTATAGAAGTTTCGATATATTATGGATTTATATATATTGGTTAAAGTATGTAAATAATTAAAGCACTTCTGTAACAATATTTTATTGGTGAAATTCATTGTTTGGCTGATGTTTTAGATTTGAGATTCGTGATTTTGGCTAGTGGATTCTATTTTTGTCAATGATTTCGTCTGCAAGAATTAAGCATCATCATTAAATTTGGAGTTCTAAACTTGTTCACCTCTCTGGTAATGTTACTGATATGATGACTTGACATCATGACTTCTGGATTTTCAAAACTAACCCAGCGACAACAAGAACAACTACTCATCCACCTGTTTCAAAAATGGCTGGTAAAACTTAACCCTGGTTTAGATGCTAAATTTGTCCCTCATCCTAATTGTTGCCAAGGCTATGTCTGTACTTCATGCTGGTAAAAAAGACAATCTGATTTATAACGCTGCTCGATGCTTTGGAGAACAACGCCATGGAGATGTTGGTCCTATAATGCCATTGGGTAGAATGCCCTTTATAGCAGTGAAGGCCCACTTGCTGTGCTGACTGGTTATATTACTACCTTAAAAAATAAGCAGAAACTCGACGTTTCGAGCGAAGGCCTAACTCTTGACGAAGGGCCTTCGCTCGAAACGTCGAGTTTCTGCTTATTTTTTAAGGTAGTAATATAACCACTCAGCACAGCATTTCTACATTGGTACTACCTACACTGGTACAGACAGTTTTAGTATATATAAGGCCCACTTGGCCTTTTTTAACAGTATTTTGTATAAATGCTGTTACACAACTAATTCAGATAAAGTTTGGGAAATGGTGGTTCTTATGCACCTATCAATGTTAAGCCCCAGAGAGGAGGGTCAGACATATGTGGGGCATTTGATTTTTTTGATCAAATTTTCAATCAAATACCCCACTGTTGGGCAATAAATATTGGTCAAATACCCCCTACCATTTTGCAATAAATTGCAATAAATACTATATTAATAAAAGTCATTTTGGTTCAAATTGCCCTAACTATGGCTAATCCAAATCCCTAGGGTGGAGATGCAATTAATGATCAAATATACCCCACATATGCCCAACCCCTGTGAGTTAACATTGATAGGTGCATTATATGCAGGTTTTTTTTGTATTCTCATATAATGTACCTTAATTAAAGTATCAGCAGCATGTTATTGTGGGACCTTTGATCAATGTTATTGTATATAAATAGACATATTTTTGTTTTATTGTTGCATTAATTTTAATGACAATTTACTCACAAAGTTGGTCAAGTAAATGTATAAACTATTTATTTATTCATTTAGCAGGGCTTAAAAAATAGGCGTACGGACATACAATTGTACGCCGTAATTAGCTTGGCGGACGCCCAGAATTTCAAATAAGTACGATCGTGTACATGTTCTACAGCAGAGTTGAACCCTTCACTGTAACCCCCTTACTGTTTGCCTTAAATCCTTCTGACAATGAAAAAATATCTTCCTCTAATTTAGTGGAATATCCATCATGAAATTTGCAACTTTAACATGAAACACTGATCTAGATTTGTATACATCGAGTTATACTGCTCGAGTCCCCGACCGCCATCTTTGTTCACATCTTTTAAATCCAGCATTTTTTCAAACGTATTTTTATACTGGATTTTTTTTTCGCGCAAGAAATTTCGCTCGCTTTGGAAAAACATACAACACACACAACACTAACGTAATCCTTGTGCCCCCAAAATTTCCACGCCCCCGTGGAAATCAGCAAATTGCTGTCGGGGCCAGACAAAACCTTGGCTGTTTGATTATCTTTTGTTTGTATAAGAGGCTATAAAATTCTCGTGCTTTTAGAAAACGCATGCGAAACGTTCTATCCTACATGAACATACAGGGCATAAATACAAAAAATAACATGGGTAAACAGGGCTCAAGATTAGCGGTATCCCGATATCCACAGGATACCAGATTTCAATTTTGGATACTAGATATCATAGGTTTAGTATCCAGACAGGATACTAAAATAAAAACCCCAAAATATTGGCAAAGTTTGTACATCGCAGCGAAATGTTCGTCAAAATAATGTTTTTTGTTGTTGTTTGTCACACGAAAATGGAATGAACCTGAGCACAAGGTTAATTTCTGCCTCTCGATTTTCGGCAGTGATTGCTCAGAGCATAACCAATGATTACGCGCAATTTCCTGTCGCCATCGCAACGTAATGAAATTTGACTTGTGTTTCTATATATGCCTATGGTTTTTCCCTGCAAGCACGAGATAAAAATCATATGATACCACTTATCGAAATACCTACTACCCAAATCTGGGATACTAAATTTCAAATAGGGATACTAGATTTCAAGACCCTAGTATCCACTTGGATACCAGTTAAAAATTCAAATCTTGAGCCCTGGGGAAAACAAGTATACAAAATCGTACGTCAACATCGATTAAACGTACGTCAATTTAGTACAGAGCGTACAACCTCGTACGGCATTTTTAATTTTTTTTTAAGTCCTGTTTAGTACAGCACATGTTACAATTATGTACTTAATTGCACGAGTGTGCATGACAGACATTGTTTTAATTGCACCTACTTGTGATTAACCTAGTTTTCGTTTAATTTAAAAATGCTGAAAAAAAATCTATAAAGTTAGCCAATTGAAATAACAGCATTTCTATAACTTGCTAAACCTAGTCAGTTGCTATTATATCACAAACATCTGTCAACGTACACTCATGCTCTTCCTTACCACTTTAGTCTCCCACTCACCACGTCAATTTATGAAATTTTTGGATAAAATCCTATTTTAAAAAACTCAACCTATACTTGATATGCTGAACATAGACCTCTAAGATATCTGGGTGCAAATACTTGCATACTTCAGAAGCAATATAACCAACATGTGTCCATCCTGTTCCATAGTCTAGATCAATTGCACTTGGGTCCATTGAATTCAATTGCTCTGGCCAATGAAGAGCAAGGTATGCCTGTTCCAAAATGATGTTGGTAGTTTTTCTCATGAGCAGCACCGGTGCACTTGAATGGTACAGCATGGGTGATTTCGTCCTCGTCACTTTCATCCTCATCACTTAACTGGTCACCACTTTCTGCCCTATCACCTTAATCACCACTTCCTGCCCTTTCACCTTCATTACCTGACCAGGTTCAAGACCAGCCAACCACTCAATTAGATCTCTTTCTACAAAATCATCACAAGAAAATTTTTATTTTATTATTTTATACATACACTGTAATCTCTAAAATTAGCAATCTAATGCAAAAGTGTGTCACTATTTACAGTAATATTAGAACAACACACAAATAAGGCAATTAATGTTATTTACAGATGAAAATTGAAAAATATGTAACTACTGTATGCACATATATGTAAAAATCTATCCACAACTAAATACAAACAGGCATCATACTTCAGTAAAAATTTATTAAACAATTTGTTTAACTCAAAACATGTACATAATATTACGCTATAATTAATTTGTACAGTGTATTTATGAAATTACAGTACAGTACAAGAATAAAAACAACAAAGCGGAAATTTGACTAAATAACAAGATAACTGTAATGCATTGTAGTATACCAACCTTAAATACTGCGCTTGTTTTCACTTTTCATGTTGATGATACACGGAGATTTAACATCATCCAACTTAATAGAAAGAAGAGCCTTGCTATTGGGAATATTTATATAAACACAATTCCTTCGCTCAGACGGATTATTTATAAACTAAACTAAAATGACAACACGTCCCATGCAATTTAAAAAGGTAAACTTGCTATAGTAAAACACAAGTCATAATGAGGATCGCAACAATACAGCAATATGCTGTTTTCACAGAGTATCTTACACTTTTGTCGTTCGAAAGCTTCCATATTGGTTTAGTCAGAGAGATGTTCACTCCTCGACAGTCAACAGTCAATGGAAGTCACGCGTGGAATTAGGCGCTCAATACCCATGATGCTTTGCGGCCTGCTGTCCAACCTCCTCTGGCTCGCTCCTGGCTAGCCTGCATGGCAGGCGGTACTAGGAAATACCGCCTGCCGCAAAACTGGGTGTAAATGAACTACCGCCCCTGAAGCATCAACGCTATTTATAGATGTTATTAATTAAGTAAATATTCAAAATTAGCCACTCCCAAGTTGCTCCCAAGTCCTAGCCTGCGAGCAGGCTCTCTGGGGAAAGAGAGCCTGCAAGGATCCCTTTGATGATTCGGTGCATGCGTCCAATATTTGGACGCAGTGCTCTGATTGGTTGATAACTGATTCATATGAAGTGATTGACAAGCTTTCATAAACTTGCACTTCCCGTTTGTAAAACCGAGCAACGCAAAGCTTCGGAATTGCGGCAATGTAGAGATAAAAGTGTCATGTATTTTGATCCTGGTTGACTTTTTACTGTAAATTAATATAGTATTCATATAAAGACGAATACTAAAAGCTTGCATGCTTTATTGTGTCCTTGGCTTGTCTGACTCCTAAGCTAAGAATAATTCTTGAGAAAGACTGCACAAATTCGCAAACCGAAACCTAGGGACAAGGCATTATATCGCTTCTCTTTTATGAAACAATATTGGGAATTCTGATAATATTCAGTGCATATTGTGTGTATTAAGCTTGTTTTACAATGTTATACTGACTATTTAATATTTAGACGACGCTCTTCCGATCTGTTAAAATGTACAGTAATTTACTCGTCACTTTGTTTACAATAATTATCACATGCATGTTTACTGCAATTCCACTTTTTGTTGCAAAATTTGAACTATAAACATATTATTAAATTATGTCCAATGTCCATGGTATATCATATATGTCTATGTCTCACCAAAGCCATAAATTTCAGTAAGTTATATTATTACTATATATATAGACTGTATACAGTGTATATTATATATTGCAGCACGAAGCAATTCCAAATAACTGAATTAGTTAGCGGGTAATATACAACTTTAAACTTACTGTGCCTACAGGAGAAACACATGCAGATTGTAATAAAAAGTACAACTTGATATATTACTCTGTAAAACCTCGAGCCGTTTTAACTTTTTTAGTATGCCACAGTGGCGGTCTGTATACGAAACTATTAACGAATTTGAAACGAATCGGTTTATGTTTACAATATCGTAGTGTATTCCGGTCTGCGCTGATTGGTTGTTATTAATTGACCTGTGACATCATAATTGAAGGGTGGCACGCAATCATCATAGGGATCCTTGCAGGCTCTCTTTCCCCAGAGAGCCTGCTCGCAGGCTACCCAAGTCCCAACTGCCTAACATAAAAACATAAAATAAATTCCTTGATTCTCATCACCGCCCGACTGAACTGTTTTAAAATCCTCGTGAAAGTGTTTTATATTTCGTTATACAATATAAATGTACCGCCCGACAAAATAATTCAAGACAGTTAATTTTTTTATATTTTATATAGGGTTTTTATTGCCATTTTAAACTTCCAATTTGAAACAAACAGAATTTTGAATGAAATTTCAATTGTATTTTAAAGAAACTCAGTCATTTTGTCATTGTTCGTGGAGATACGAACTATACTATTGATATATAAATTATATAAATATAAAATATAAAAAATAAATCTCCCACTGTCTTCGACATTTCAAAGTGTAGACTGTGTCTAGTGATGAGAATCAAGGAATTTATTCTATGTGTTAATATAAACCAAGCCCGTTTAGCTGCCTTAAAACGGTGGTAATAAGCTCAAAATACAAAGCATGCAAGTCTATACTATAGACTCATCATCAGTCAACAACCAAACTGAAAGTTTTGAACCTTATAGAACGATAGTTTTTATTTGTTTACAACTATACATATTCAACGGGTATATAAGAGTTTAACTGTTATTTGATAATTACTGCATCAACCGGCCCCTTGTTTATACTTTGGAGGTTCGTATATATTAATATCTATCAAGTATCTTTGGTTCAGAACATGACTGAAGGCCTATATGGAAATCCCACAGTTCGATTCAGTGAAGAAATATCTCCTAATTTCTATCGATAGTTTTAGTAAAATGTCAACATTATTGCGATTTATGGCCTTTGAAAGTCAAGCGAGATAGTATATTATCAAATTAATACGCATGTATAAATTGTCTGAACGAAAATATAGACTAGCCCATACCTTTCGCCGATCATAACTTCGGCCCCTTCGGACGTATCTTCTTTGTTAAATATTCTTGTTCGAATCTCTATCAATAACACTATTTAGAGTGTTATTTTTCAGCTTGTATCTTTTAATTTGCTTCTTTTATTATGTTATTCCATTTCTGGTCTGACTTGACGTGAACTAATTTCAAAACGCAGAGTTTCAAAACGTCAAAACATTTGGTTAATGATTAACATTTAACCGAATTTAGCCGTTGATTGACAACTACATAAAAATACTAACCAATCCGTTTTTCCCGTTCACCAGCGGACGGGTAATTCAAAAACCCCTAGTTTTGCGGCAGACGGTATTTCCTTTGCTTCCCTAATTTTCGCTGCCCGTAGAAATACCGCCTGCCATGCAGGCTAGCTCCTGGCCTGCCTCCTCCGCAGGCCCTCGTTGCGTCATGGGAAGGTCACGTGACCTTCCCATGACACAACGAGGGCCTGCGGCTCCTGTCCTGGCCTTAGCAGAAAAAAGAAAAATGGCGCCATTTTGGGAATTGGCCTCTATTTCGAGACTCTATTCATTCTAATTGGCTCTTAAAAGTTGTTTTTAAACTGTAAGTGCTCTTGAAACGTTATATAATTAATTTATTGAATACACACATTAACATGATTGAGAAATAATATGGTAAAATGTAAGACGATAACTCAACAACATGATGTTTGTTTTGTGATGAAATATTTCAAAAAATTTGTGTGTATTTATAAAATATGACTCAATATGAAATAAGATTCATTTGTCATACATCAAATCGTGCATGTGTTGTACGTTAAGTTATGTTACAAGTTATTTTTTACAGTGTTTGCCAGATGAAATTTGAAAATGTTAAAAAAATACACGAATTGAAAAAGGGGTTTTACCAATTTACCTTGCCTCTGCAGCTTTCATTGGTTATTAAATTAATGGTTAAATTATGGCTGGCTGCATGCATCAGGAAATGATGGGGGGGGGGGGTCAGGAAGTGATGGGGGGGGGGCGGTGCTTGCACTCAAATAATACCTTTTGAGGATAAATTTCAATTTTATTGCCCTCCCCAGGAGCTGTGGTCTGTGTGGTGTATGTCCAACCCAGGTAGAAACCATCAACTCGGTAGAAACCCCAGTATATCACCTGATCACCATTTAACTTGTTCTTAACGTTGAGCACCACAGAAAAAAATTATAATAAATATATAATTAATTTGTTTGTAAAACATTTGCAACAAAATTTTAAGGAAAATTATGAAACAATAAAACTTTGTTCACTATCTGGCAATTTTGTATCAAGTTCATTGTGTTTTACATCAAGTATTACATCATGTTTTAAGAATTAAGTTTTGCATAATTTATACATGTGTGGTTAACTTTTGTATTAGGGAGAGAATATATTTTGATCAGTTCATGGACCAGGCTCCACCACCAGGGGAGGGGGAATAAAAATTTTGCAAATTGTGTCACAGGAGGGGGGGGGGGGGATAAACTGACAAGAAATCAAGATATAGTAGCTGTTATACTAGATATTTTATTCCAAACATACAAGAATATTTAAATGTTTTCCTTTTATTATTTATTAATCAGTACAAAAATGTTAATAACAATGGAAGAACAGCAGAGTGTCCTTGTCAAATATTGGAAGATTATTAATTTAGCAAGTATTAGCGTACATGTTGCGTGTTATGTACATGGTAGCTAGAATATAAACCAATTTGATAGAACTCATGTACAGGATATTGAGAAGTTGTTTGCTATTATTGGCCAAAAGATAGAAGCACTCACAAAATTCTCTCATGACAACTACTACCCGAGTTGAGTACAGTTTCCTTTAGTGAATACTGGGTTTGAGATGGGCAAGAGGACATCAGATACAAAGATGACCAAATTTGTTATGGTAAGAATAAAGTTTCATACCCCTCAGTTAAACCCTTACCAAAATATAATGTATATTTCATGTTAATGAGTTAACTAATGTCCCGTACACAACAGCAAGGCTCTATATAGCCAAAGAGCCATACGATACTTTCCAGAAGGGTGTATTTTGTGACAATTATGCATACCAATTACCAACCATGCATATTTTTAAATTTGGCATGGTAGCATTGCCATTAAGTAGTTCTAAAGCATAACATGTCAGTCACAAAAACGAGGCTCTATGACCATGACATACTTTCTGGAAGCGTGTTAGCGTGTATTGGTTGTTATGTGAATTGTTAAGAATTTGGTAATACTATCGGTACTTTTCGGTATTCCTGTGCTTTAACCCATTAAGTTAATTGCATTGAGTCCTAAATTCACCCTACTTTATTATTTTACTCTGTCTAACACTGGTGCTCAATAGGTTAATAGGCATACCTGTATATAGATGGGGAATCTGTCCATTCTCTGATTGTGGAATGAATTAATTCCCAGTTATTATAATGCACACATCATCAAACCCAATTATCACTCCTTTTGGAAGGAATATTGTAAGCAGTTAACTAGGACTCCTTGAAAAGGTTGAAAATGGTCAAATAGACGCTAGAGGGGTGCAGATTTGATTATACCGCTACCTCTCACTGGCTTAATACGCATTTGACCACAGTACTTAATCAGGTTAGACTAAGACAGTAGTTAATTATAGGACTAAATGCATCTGATTGGTTAATGGTAACAGTAGCGGTAGTGGATGTAGTTAGTTTTTGGTTAAAGCTTCACAACTTAAGATAAACTTAAATAGAGCTACAGATTCAACGGACCATTACGAGTGATTGTTTACAATACCAGTGGTTGCCGAACCGATTAATGTAAACATGTTATTCATTAAACATCATTTGCATGCATGCGGAGTCATCACTAAAACATGGCTATACAGATGTTTGTGATGTTACTCTGAGTGTGCATTCACACCGGGCAAGCTGAAAAGTTGTGTTCTTTGTGTTGCCTGACCAACACACAGAAAGTATCATATGGCTACAGAGTTACCGAACCATGGAACGACATTACTTCCATCACTCACTACTTCAAAAATAGTCAACTTCTAATAGCCAGTTAGCCAAATTCAAAACCTTTTGGGGCAGGGTCTGCCTGAGTCGTACACCAGTTGGAGTTCAATTGCATGCAGTATCCATTCCCGTCCCCGGCCTACTAGTTTTGGGTCTCTTGGTGATCCTGAGATCTCCATGCGTACCTAATGAGATTGGCTACTTCCACAAAACTAACCTCTAAATTGCATCCATCAGGGATCCCAACAGTGGAGGGCAGAGTATCAACTCACCTTGGTCCCACAACCTGACTTGGTTTTCACTGGGTTTTCAACCTGACTTGGTGACCGGGTTTTCATTTGAGACGGTACCAAAAATCAATTTTTGGAACAGGACGCTATTAAATTTGCGCATATTAATAACCCTTCCTGATTAAATATAGCTCTGCCAGTTATAGGGGGAGCCTAGTGGGAAATTTGACTTTCCTCTGGATGAGTAAAATTGTCTGGCATTAGACAAAGTCAAGCGCATTTAGGTGCATTGCAACTTAATTATTAACAACTATACAACTGAAGACACATTGGCAGATAGTTTGGTTACTGGTAAGTTGGTTAACTCACTAGTGTGCAAAAATTTCCTCTTGATGAGTAAAACTGTCTTGTGTTAGACAGAGTAGAATTATAATAAAGTCGGCGCATTGCAGCTTAATGGGTTCAGGGCGAAACTACCGGCGGTGGGGTCAGTCTTAATCTCGTCTGGTATATTCCCCCCCCCCCCCTTGCTCACCAACAATTTTGGGAAAAGAAATGGAAAAACAAGCTCCCAGCCGTAATGCCGACGTTTCGCCCCTGAATGGATTAATTGAAAAGAGAGAGCAACAATGTCTAGTTAAATACCTAGTATACCAAATTTTTACTAATTTGCCAAAATGTATTATATGCATTATTATCCACATTTTTAAATCTTATATGGTTATGTGTCTGGCCCGGCCTAAACATGTATATATTCAATCACGTGATATTTTGGCTCGGGGGGGCGGTAATAATTACACTGAGTGTCAACGCATTTTATTCAATTGAAATATATTAAAACAATACAAACTATATACAGTAAGCCGTCTTTTGGCCTTGACACAGACCCTTGACGTGAGCCATGACATTACCAAGTCGAATTTCAGAATTTAGCCCAGAATTATGGTCGTCTATTCTCACTAAAGGAAACCGTACTCTATGCTCTCGCTAGTAGTTGTCATCGCAGACTTTTGGCTTCTACATACTTTTTGGCCATTGATATCAAACAACGTCTCAATACTCTCAATATCTTGTACATATATGAGCCAGACTGGAAAATCGGGCAATGCCGCTTCCGTTTTTTTTGGGGGGGGGGCACTTTTTGCGCCCCTGGATGTTTTTCCCAATTTTTTTGTGCCCGCGGCCCGCAGAATGATTGAATAAATAAGACCAACTCTCCGAGGGCCGAAAAGGCCAAATGCTATAATTTTTAATTGAACAATAAATATATAAACAGTTAAAAGCAATTGTTATAACAAATGTTTTTCTATTTGGTGGACTTTAATAATTCATTAGTTCTGTACTTATGTTGGTTTACCAGTCCGCTTTGACAGTGTGGGTGCATTTTGGTGGTTCCATACTCAACCTGTCGACCACTTGACTGACGTTGTATCGCCTTGCTGCTCTTCTTGTCTCATCTGAAAAAAGTGGCATCTGATGTTTTGCAAGATCAATTTTCTTGCGTCCCTTTGTGTAGAGTTGACCTATTTCTTCCATAGTCTTCGGACACGTAAGAGGGTCCGGCAAGCTCCAATCTACAACAGCCCTCTTCACCAGCATCTCATATTGCCTTGCCCGCCAGCCTTCTTATGTGCCTTCACCAAGCTGTAAAACCCTTCTACTACAGCTTCACACCGTAGCTCCAGCTGCCAAAGCAAAATCCAACACAATACACATTTCAGGCCCAAGCGATTCGTAAATGTATGCATTTCTATAAAATGATGCGACTAAATTATCTTCACACAACCGTGCCTCGATAAAAACACCAGATTCGAAGCCAATTTTAAACCGCGCATCAAATGAGCAGTTATCATGCAACTTTGGTATTTTGGAATTCGCTTATGAGTTTACCGTTACGATCAACGAATAGCTCGTCAAAGCAGTTTCCCAACTCCGTCCAAAAAATCTTCTGTAATGTTGTCTTGAATCTCTTCAGTACCGCATTGCTATCTGTCGGCAGAAGATCCAAATCGTGATTTGAGTCGGCAAGAGCTTGGACATGTGGCAAAGCGCAGACATGCTTGAAGAACTCGTGGAACTCATTGTTGCCGCTTGTTTCCCATTGGATTCGGTCGTCACGCTCTATAACTAGCCTTCCATCCTCAACTTTGTAATTGCACATGTGCCTTGCTATCTTCTCGAAATCAAAGACATTGCACAGCATCTTGACTGAAGTCGGTACAATGTTTGTGAACCGAGCGTGAAGACCAACCCGAAGATCTTTGCAAAGTGTGACAAGATCTTTAACGCAATCTTGTGGAGACCAAGCATCCTAGGTATAAGTAGTCTTCTTCTTGCCGTGTATCATCTCAGTGGTCTGACCAACTACTAACTAGCCGGCTAAAACTGGGTTACCCTAAAACAAATAATTAAGAGTACAATTTTAAAATAGGCATGATACAATTCTAAAGTAGGCATGATACACATGGAAAAAACCCAACACTGCATTTGTCAAGTGTTAAGTAAAATAATTAGATTTAACATTTCCTAATTTCGTGAAACGATCGGGTTTTTCATAGTATAATTACCTGAAAGGCACCATAATCCACTTCATCTTTACCTTCATCATCAGAACTCGTGGGTGGAGTCAATTCTTCCCAGTGCTTAGAAAGCTTCGGCAACTTCTCTTCAGACGGTTTTGCTCCTGTCCACCACTTCAAGGTTTGTTTCCATCACCTTCAAGATCTTGATCACTCTCGAAAACCACGTAACAATCTTCCAAGGTGGAAGATTTACAGCTTGTGTTCTTAGCATCAATGATATGACAGGCTCTAGAACGTCGAATGTTCCACAAAGATCAATAGCGTAGTCCTGTCCACGAACCTAAATCACAGAATTGTAAATTAATTAATACTTTTACAGGAGGTGTCCATCTACCTTTAACGGTGAATATGCTGTACGGTCAAAATAGAGAACAAGTTTATAGATTCGTTGAACAACTTAACTAACTAGTTTTAAATTAAAGAGAAGAATTTAGTTTCCAACTACATATTTATTGCATTAAAGTTCACTCGTTTGCAAGATGTATATATTAAGTTCTATTTTTAGTCTTGGCCTAACCGCTGTTTATGCTAAACAGGCTTCGTAACACCAACCGTTAATTGGCCATTAGCCTGCGAACAAGCTCTCAAGCTGAATTGAGAGCCTGCATCGATGACTAATGAATTTGAATATCTGCCCCATAACTTTCGTTTTTCCAAATATGGAATGTCTATCCTTATATGGTGTTGTTTACAACTTTCGTGCAAACTAAATTTAGGCCGTGCAAACTAAATTTAGACCGTACAGTTTATACGGTTTTTCGAAATATAAGATATTCAAGCAAAAGTTCAAATGTTTTAAATACTGTTTTCTCAAAACAGAACATTTCGTGCTTTGAGGTAAGATGACCAAGACCAATTTGGTCAGTTAATGTGTTTTTTATGCATAGTGCTTCAGCAGTTGACATATATAGAGCTCAGCGGAAACATATAAATTATAGCATCTGACCAATGAGAATTTCGCGTCACGATTTGAGACGCAGATATTCAAATTCATTAGTCATCGATGCAGGCTATATATATAATTATATATAGTAACGCCAGGGACTCGATATTTCTTTTCGATACTTTTCAATGAAAAAAACGTTGATCTTAATAATCGTGTGTTGAGTCTCTTCTATTCAGTCGACTTGAAGGAGGTAACCGGAGTTACTAACTCGGGGAGAAATGACATTAAGAGCTTTAAAATTTGCATGGAACGCGAAATCCATACTACATACTTTGGGAAGACGTTTTTGATGTTCATTGATTTGCGGTACAGTCCGTTTGCACATGTCATCTTTGTTTAAATTTTATGTTTTTATGAAATTTATTGGCTCGCCCAAACGTCTTGCATTGCGAATTGTCACTAATCCAGGACTGCTTGTTTTCAGGTCAGTGACTATCATGGCTAATCGTCATCAGAACCTCGCAAACGACACCACTGATATGGTGAATGGACAAAACGATGCAAATTCCAACAATGCTGAGAACATAGAGTGGACTGGTGGTCATGATGAAGTATTTGATCCAGTAGTGAGTGCAGATTATGAATGTCCCATATGTGTGATGGTATTACGTAATCCAGTCCAAACAACATGTGGACATCGCTTCTGTGTAGCATGCATCAGTGCTAGACCTATGACGTAAGTTTTTGGCTATCTTCGCACGAGAACGGACGAATCGGTCCATTTTATTCTATTCTCGAACCCGTCTGGATCCATGCATCCCATTGAGTTCCGAATTCATCTGCTTGACTGCTTTTATGTGAACGGAGTCTTTGCTTATTCAGTGCATTTTTCAGTGGTGGGGCAAGAAGTGCTTAAGGTCCCTTGGCCCACCCACCCTAGCTAACTCCTGATGCTAGTTCCTTAAACGTTTGCATGGCATTAATAAATAGAATTGTTGCCTTGTGGGTCAAAAGCTTTGCTAAATAGATAAACAGGTTTTTCAGAAACCAAAGCAATTATATATGATGTATAATTATATAACCGGGGCTCTTGTAATGTGCTTATGTCAATCAGGTTCGATCAACCAGAGAAGGTGCGGTGAGGATTTGGTGAACATGCTGTCCGGGGAAAATTTGAAAACTGAGGCTCATAAAATCCATTTCCTGCATGCACTTTCTGGCACTGAATTGAATGAAGAACTTGGACTGAAAAATATGTTCCATAATTGGTTTTGGACCCTGGTGAATTTAATTGCTTGGTGCGGGGTATACGTGGATAAAAAGCTGACTCGCTGACAAGCGTACTCGATCGCGAGAGCGGACTGGCGGACTTGCCGACTGAATTCCTTGTGTATTTTGCTATTCCTTGTGTATTTCTGAATTCCTTGTGTATTTTGCTTGTGTATTTTGCTTGTGTAATGTGCGCTACTATTCGGAGAGTAACGGTTTAACGGTTTAACCCTCACTAAGCAAATTTTAGGGGAAAATCTTTTGTCCATTATATGTTCTAACAAACAAGTGTACTATAAGCTTTTTTTTTCATGACCTACTTTGGACATCGTTGCTTTCGCCAGGCATAGAAGTTGGTTTCGCATCTTAAAGATATATTAGTGAGCTTTCTCGTTTGTTTACGGTAATGTACATCGGTAATGTACATAGTTCACAGGGTTCTCTTTGCAATCAGGTTTTTAAATTACTTAGTAATGAATGTTTAACATGCACCATTGCTTTTAAAGAAGATCCAAGACCATGCATATGTATTAGTTGTGTTAAATTCTTACTGTATTTTTTACATTTGAGCGTCTTGAATGTTTCCATGCAACACCGTTTTAAGTTATAAAGCATGCATTTACTTTTTCCCCAAATGTGGCAAATCCTAATAACATACGTACATGAACAAAACATTTTTCCCACAATTTTCTTAGCGAAGATTCAACAGTTACTCCCGTAAAGTATCCAAGTGTGCCTCCACGCAAACGCCCTATAGTAAAATGAATGCACAAAGAACATATAGTCTGCCAGGGGCCGCTTGTATATAAAACTCTTAATCACTTTTTTAATCACTATTTTGTAGTTAAATAGTGATTGACTCTCAAATACGCGCTTCTTATTGGATGACGTTTCCACTAACTATAGTTAACTTTAATCACTTTTTTATACAACCGGCCCCAGTTCGCGAGTACACCAATCCACGGCGGGATTCGAACCTACGACCTTTGGAATACTAGCCCAATGCTTTTCCAACTGAGCTACGCGGTCAGGTCGGTTCGAGTATGCGATATATTTCGGAACTGAGTCTAGTTCCTTCGATATGGGCTAGTATTCCAAAGGTCGTAGGTTCGAATCCCGCCGTGGCCAGGCATACTTTTCAAGCCTGCCCGGTGTGGATATACACACAGACTAACATCACACAAACATCTTATTCACCTGAGTACATTGCACTAACACAGCAGATTTCATGATTATTAGATTACACTGATATCGAAGGAACTAGACTCAGTTAAGAAAAATATCGCATACTCGAACCGACCTGACCGCGTAACACGACGCTCTTCCGATCTATTGGGCTAGTATTCCAAAGGTCGTAGGTTCGAATCCCGCCGTGGCCAGGCATATTTTTCAAGCCTGCCCAGTTTGGATATACACACAGAGTAACATCACACAAACATCTTATTCACCTGAGTACATTACACCAACACAGCAGATTTCATGATTATTAGATTACACTGATATCGAAGGAACTAGACTCAGTTAAGAAAAATATCGCATACTCGAATCCCGCCTTGGCCAGGCATATTTTTCAAGCCTGC